ACCCCATATTCAAAAAGTGTTTAGATATAGAAAAAATATTTGCTAATTAAAGCTGATGAGATGCTGCCTAGGGAATGTAATGAGTCTCCAAAGTGTAAATGGTTTTATATGTGAATGGTGTGCAGTTATTCAGTCTTATGCACCTTGGAGAACAGAGAGAAAGAATAGGATTTCAAGGTTAGCTCTCGAAATGACTTCCTTGAAAATTCTGAAGTTTAACTAAAATTCCCTGTCTCTCAACCAGCTGTACATACATTGGTTCCAAATTCACCTGAGCTCCTATCAAAATAGCTGGGGATAACAATTCTACCTCACTTAAGAGAACCAAGCCAATACATATGCTGAACACTTTTACCACACAAGCACACGAGAGAAAGTCAAGGGCATGTTTGAAAAGCATTAAGCCACTTTACCTAAGAAATGTTTGCATAGGTGATCACTCTACGTGCAAGAAGATACTATTAAGGCCCTTCTGGCAGACAACACACAAGCCTTCCTGTGAATTCTGTGACAGGTGGATGCTGATATCCTGATACTGCTAGGCCTAATCCTTGATTTTAGCCCAAAGTAAATACCACAGGAAGAGGAAAGATCTTGTTTTGTTTTAAAAGACCTGATCATGTGAAAGTTTGAAGTGGCAAATAGCTTTACTTACATGAATCATCTGCAGACTAGACTCTCTCAAAAAGTCAGAGAATAAAACTGGCATCATGAAGAGAATAATCCCCATCTGAACAACCTCTGATAATGGAAATACTTTGATACCTTTAGACATATCCACTTGAGTAAACTTGTGCTTGATTCATGCTATTTAAAATTAAGTAATGAAAGTGCATATTAGTATCTGCTTTTTAGTTTATTTTAGTTTAATTCTAGTTTATTTTTCAAGGCAAACACAGCCAGAAGAGCTGTTCATTGCAATGGCTTGGAGTATTACAGCATCCACAAAACATGTAACTTCATAAAGGATCTGTATTATTTATATAAGGTAAGATTGCTTTGCAAAAGAGATGATGCAGAGTGCAACAACCACTGTTCAGAAAAAAAAAACCCTCTAGTAGTTTATATCTGTATAAATCTGAAGTAAATTCATTGAAATTTAGAGTAACAATGGGATCTTAGTTCATTGTCCTTTTCCCAACATAACACTCACACACATTTCCCTCTTTTTGATTTACAAGCAGTTCAGTAAATTAAATGATCTCAGTATTCATTAATTTTCTTTATCATAAGCTATAAAAATATCCATCATAGTAAACTAAAATTTTGTCAGAGGACCCAGGAGTATATGGACAGTTTTTAAATATCAAATTTCAATTCAAGGTACAGGGAAATTAAACTTTTCATAATAATAAAGCAGCCAAATAAATTCGAGATTTGCTATGGAAACACTGACACTCATGAAATAATAGCAGCACTTGATCATGCCCTTGCCATATATTATTATCTTTTAGACTCTAATTCTGTGCCAAAACTGCCTTCAGCATACTATTTTGGGATTAGTTCTTTGGGACTGGGACTTTTACCTTTCTCCTGGGTTATAAAGCAGAGAGCACACTGTTTGCACAGCATAAGCAACAGCATTTACAACTTTTTAGTTGCAGCCAGATATAGTTATGGACTGAACACAGTTAAACTACTCTAGTAGAAATTTTTCACAACAAATAATGAACTCTTAACACCATCATTAGCTATTGCAGCCCACTGTTCCTGCTGTCCCAGGAGGCAGGGGCTGAGGAGCAGGGAAGTGCCCGATCCTGCAGATGCTGAGTGTTTCCAGAGGGATCCAGCGCTCTATCAACTTCAACCCATTTTGGTGGGAGCTATGGATGCTCGACACATCACATAAACAGGTCTATCAACTCCGACAGATTTTTGTACATCACTTACCTGAATATGAAAAACACTAAAATTAAATGAGGCAAGATAATTAAGACTGTGCACATTCCGGCACAGACTGAAGGCCATATCTTGTCACATCCTGAAGGCCATGTCTTGTTACACCCTGATTTCAGTCTGAAATCCACATATGGATCAATAGTGTACTATTGCCCTAAAAAACAGAGTTTGTTTTCATTTTATACAGCCATAACAGACAGGGAAAAAGATGTTAATGAATGGAAGGGGGGAGAGGAGAAAAATGAAAAAAACAGCAAGTCAGAAACATAAGAGTGATGGAAACAAAATATATTTTACCACATATTCTTATATTCCTCTACCTGTATGCACAGCCAATACCCAGCAAACAGTTTGGTCATGCCAGTGAAACATTTCACAGAGAAATGCCCTCTATGCATCAAGAAAACACAAACTGAATTTTTAATAAAATGTTAGCCTCAAAGCAATTCAGAAAATTGCATTTTGAAATAAAAGAACAAGGACAATAATATCTAAACAAAAGCAGATCTATAAAACTGTTCCCCAAATAGCCAACAGTAAACTTGAAATGTGACCAAAAAAAGCAGGATTTGTAAAGCATCCCAACACTGCAGTCATATCAGAAGGTAGTGCTTGTCTCAGGAGCCACAAATTACTTAGATATAAATATTTACCCTACCTAGCTAGATTGAAGAATGTAAACAGATTCCCCACATAAAATATAACATGTCAATATCTTCGCTGCTGAAAATGGAAATGTGAATTCAGTCAGAGCACAGATTCTGAAAGGGGAGCAGAATCAATTACCTTCTCTCCCTGCCGGTCTCCCATGCGGCTGCCGGGCTTGCAGCTCACTGCCCCCCTGCCTTCCATACTGGCTTTCAAGGCACTGAATAACTTTTTGTACAGCTATCCACTTTTCATTTGCTCTTTTTCACAATTCCCCTAGTGCCTTGGCAGATGAAAGTTGTTTGTTTCGGAACTAAGCTGTTTGCAGATTCACATGCTCTTATCTCCTTCCACTTTGTCTCTCAGTCCAAAAGGGTGGTCTTTCTGGCTGGGTTTCCCTGCTGCTAATAGTAGATTGCCATAATATAGTCATAATAATTTTAGATTCTAGATTAATTGACGAGTAATCCAGTATTTTTTCCCCAATCTTATGTAAAGCACTAAGAGCTCAATTTTGCTGTACCTTTATCTGTATAAATTTGTAGCAATTCCAAAGACTTCTGAAGGAGTTTGAATAAATATGCATACAACTTGATCCTATTCCATCCTTTACATACTAAAAAGATACCATTCTGTCTGTATTTAGGTAGATAAAGTAGGAAAAAAAAATATTGCGTTCATAAACCAGTTTAATAAAGCATTACCAAAAATAGACCTAACATGGCTGTTTAGATACAGTTATGGAGTATGTGGAAAGCTGCAAAACAGTGAAAAGTTTAAAGCTATGATGTTTTAAACTCTCACTATTAAGAATGTCCAATGAAGTGCTTGTAAAGATCCTATTTCTAATCCTATATTGTTAATCAACGACCAATCTGAAGAAAAAGCTTTCCAGAATTCAAAATGTATGTTATGAATACACTTAATTCTTCTGTTGTCATAAATAAACATCCTACTATTTATTCATTCTTCTTTTAGCCCTCCCTCTTCCTACCTCAATTCCTAGATATGTGTTTCTTATAAGGTATAATTGAGTTAATTTTGCCCCTTCTTCCTTCTCCTTCTATATATTCAATTTTTATAGGTATAAGGTCATTGTCCTTCTACAGTCTCACACTGTCCTCACCACGTACTATAGAGAACACATTTCTATTAGACAAATTGGGGAATGCAATGCAGCATAATTATCAAAATACACAAATATCATAAGAGAAGATTCTGTTCTTTCTATGAAAAAATATCATTATCAGACAGCAACTATTACCAATATAAAGCTAAAATATTAGACACTTCTTAAAAGGTATGTTGTGATCTGAGGCTGTTTCAGCAGCTGTTTGACACTAATGGCAATTCACAGTTGAAAGATGTTTTCCTCATCTTGTACTAACCATGGTACTTCAAAGGAAGGGACAAGGAATAAAAGGAACACTGCCTCATTTTTATTGCCACATAACTTTGCCAAGTGTATCAGCAAACACAGTTAAATGACTTTCGCTTAAAGGGTGTACTTTTTCTCTTCTTTTTAAACACATGTGTGTATGCTGTCACTTTTGCTCTAGTGAAGTACACTCTGTCTTCCCAGCTTCAGCTATGGAAGACAAACTCTGCAGAAATGATATTACTGTTGCAATGGGGCTGCATATTAGGGCTCTTGTTTGATGAAAAAAGGAGCCAGGAAATGGTATATCAACAGGAGGTGGAACATTTGCATAGAAGAGGGGTCTTACTTCTATTCTACCATCTAATATTAAGAGTGGGGAGAAAGCACAAAAAAAAAACCCAAATTATCTTTCCAACATTGAAACATGCAGAGGCAAATTGCTTATTACAAGTTGTATGCAGCTCAGACTAATAACAGACAGACTTAAAAATGTCCCACTATACTTATTTTTTAAAGATTTAAGATATTTATATTCTGATCTTTCACTTCAAATTTGAGAATAATGAGTGAATAAAATCTGCAAGACAGACAGGCATTGTTCACATCACATTAAAAGGCATCTTTTTATGCAGCTTTGGATTCCTAAACTTAGACTGAATGGGGTTTTTAAGTTGTCTGGAGTTTGAAATGCAAGCTGAACTTTGTCATATTACACCTATTTTCTTGTTTCACTGTAATCGTAAATACACAACAAACTGCTGTTTGAGAGAGGCAGCATGCAAAATTAAAGCCCATTTTTTTCTTGGAAGAATCTGTTGAGCTGTACATGAAGACGCGTGGAAGCAGTGGTGCAATGAGGAGCACTACAAAGCCACAGCTCAAGCTGAGCGACGCTGAGCATATCGTTCTCCAGAATACACCACTTCTTTTAACAAACAAATTTAGTGTCAAGACAGCTGCTTGCCAACTTTTTTTTAATTAAAAAAGGGGTGGTGGGCGGAAAGAGCTTATGCATTATCCTTGTATTTAGCAGAAGGCTGCAAACAGAAGAAAAAAAAAAGATATATTTTAAATATAAGCAGTTTCAACCAGAAATGTGAGAGCATCTTCCCCTATTAATATCTTACTAGAGTTGGCTGGGACAAAATTTGGGTTGCAGCTACAAGCTGAAGCAACAGTGTTGAGGAACAAAACAAATAGGCATTTGCTCCCCCCCTCACTCCCCTTTCCCCCTGCTCCCAGATAGCAGAGTATGACTGATGCTTTTCGTTAGCTGCAAGGCAAATGTTAGCTAAAAACTCATTTAGCTAAATCCACATCCATGGTCCCCCATGTTCAAAAACTTATCATGGATTAAAGCCATGAGATAAAAATAAAAATAAAAAATTTCAATTTGAAATTTTATTCAGCGTGTTGCTAGAATGGTCAACATCGATCGACAGGAGAGACTTTGTCCACGTACTCGCAGAACGCTCTAGTGCACCTCCCCCCTCTTTTCTTCCTCTTTCCTCTCAGCATTAATGCTATTAAAAGCCAAACAAAACACTGGCTATGGGTGTAAGGAATGCTGGTTTTTGGAATGTTGCCATGGATCCTGCTTCCAGTCGTGTCCCACGGAAAGAAGGTGCAGCCTCCTGTCCCTGTGGCAGGCTGGCCTCCCCGCGCAGGGGAGGAGGAACGTAGCCCCGGAGCCCTGCCGCCCGCTCCTCTTTCCCGTCCACTATGGCCAAGTCCTGGATCACCCTCAGTTTGCCACTGGCATCGATCCTGCGCTTCTCCCGTATTAGGTCCTCCAGGCTGTGGAATCTCACTGTGTGCACCTTGTTCTCGGCCAAGTGGATCTTGAGATAGTACTGCTGCTGGGGCTGGGTGCCGGCAGCTGCCTGCAGCTCCCCCCCGGCTTTGAACTCCCGTTTCCCGAAGCGGCACCACGCGGCGAAGCTCTCCGAGTTAGTCCAGCAGATCTCGTCGCTTTTTAAGCCCAGGTGCCCGCAGGCGTTTTGCACCACCAGCTCGGCCACCAGCGGGCGGAAGCGGTACCAGCTATTCACCACGCGGCCCACGTTGCCCGCGGGCGCTTCGTACAAGCTGTCCTGGCGGATCTGCCCCTGGTGCAGGTGGATGATCTGCCCACCGCCCACATACACGGCCCAGTGCGGCGGCGGGGGCTCCGACGGCCCCAGGTAGAGCATCACCAGCAGGTCTCCCGGCTTGCAGAGGGCAGGCAGTGCTGACACCGAATAGACGCTGAGGTCCCCAGCCTGGGGGCCGCTGCTGACCTTGGAGAAGATGCATTCCTGGCCGTGGAAAGCGGAGAACTGGGTCTCGTTCAGCACCAGCTGGTGGTGGAGGTGGTGGGTGGGCGTCTCCTGGCCAGGGCTGCCGGAGCCCTTCACACCGTACTTGTCTGGCTGGCCTCGCTCATCCAGGTCCTCCTCCTCATCCGAGAAGAAGTAAGCGACCCCGACGCGCAGCTCGTCCTTCTCGATCCCCGAAGGGTCCCCGGTCGGCAGCTCGCTGTAATTCAGGTGGGTGATGCGATCCAGTTGATTTCCCATCAATGACAGGGCGAGGAGAGGGCAGGAATCGCCAGATCTGGAGGAAGGGTGGGGTGGGCAGGGAGAGAAAGAACAGGAGAGAAGAAAGAGCGCAAACGGAGACAGAAGGGAAGGAAAGAAAAAGAGAGAGACAGAAAAAAAATCAAGACACATACAAAAGAATTCAGCGATTCCACCCTAAACCCCCATTCCTCACCTCGCTCCGTCCCTTCCCCCAGTGCAAGGGAGAAACTCCCGGTGCGGATCCACCCCCCTGCCCCGGGGCGCTGCCCGAGCCCCGGTGGCCCCGGCGGCCCCGCGGGAGGGGGGGGGGGCCCCCGCCC